GACAGAAGTAGATCAACTCAGTGTCAGCTGCTCTGAGTACAGTGGCTCCTCGGCTGCTCTGAGTGCAGTGGCTCCTCTAGGATGACTCAGGAGTCAGTATCTCCACAGGACAGGAGCAGACCAACTCTGTGTCTGCCCCAGCCCACAGGACCAGGCAGGGGAGGAAGGGAAGTGGAATTCCGGAGGGGCGGGTTTTGGGTAGCTGCTGTGTCCTGAATGTCCCTGGCTCCCAGATGTATCTCTGGGGCTTAGGGAGTGAGATGGAATTCTTACCGGCTGCTCTGAGTGCAGTGGCTCCTCTAGGATGACTCAGGAGTCATTATCTCCACAGGACAGGAGCCGACCAACTCTGTGTCTGCCCCAGCCCACAGGACCAGGCAGGGGAGAAAGGGAAGTGGAATTCCGGAGGGGCGGGGTTTGGGTAGCTGCTGTGCCCTGAATGTCCCTGGCTCCCAGATGTGTCTCTGGGGCTTAGGGAGTGAGATGAAGTTCTTACCAGCTGCTCTGAGTGCAGTGGCTCCTCTAGGATGACTCAGGAATCATTATCTCCATAGGACAGGAGCAGACCAACCTGGCCTGGAAACTCTTAAGAAATTCTCCTGTTGCCATTGCTCATCTTGCCACATAAGTAAAGAGAGTACAGGTAGAATTTACCATATCTTACATTTGTCAAGAATGAGATTCATACTCTGTCTCTTTGTTTCCTAGCCAAAGAAGAGGAAAAGAACTGGAGACTGCAAAGAGGCAGAATGTGAAACACGACTGTAGAGAGACTCTCTTCATCATCATCTGTCAATAAACAGCCTATGGCCAATAAGCTGAGGTAGGATTAGAAGGTGGAGCATCCTTCACAAAGAGAGAGGGGCTGAATTCTGAAATAGAGACAGGCACAGGAAAAGAGATTTGGCATAATCTCTGAGGAAGATGGTTACATAAAACCATGAATTCAATAATAATGGAGTACTACTTGGCTATTAAAAACAATGACTTCATGAAGCAACAAACCTTGTGATGAGACTTAGAGTAGAAAAAACAGGATAACAGATTTATGAGCTAGTCAGCAAATGAGCCAAATCTTTTGACCTATGCAATTATTAATAATAACTCAGACTCAGAGTCATTTCCTTGTGAACATACCTTCCCAGAGCAAGCATGAAACAGTAGCTCTAGCTCAGCCAGAATCAGCAAAAGTAGCCTGTTAGTCCAACTAGAGAAGGTAAGACCGGAAGGCAACAGCCAACACAACCTTACTAGCTGAGCGTTAAAGAGACTTGGCAGAGGCCAGCTAGAGATTCATGGAAGATATAGGAAATGCTGAGCAGTCAACAGACTTGGTAAGATACTTGGAAAGTCCTTAAGCAGAGAGTAAACAGAAATTAATTTTTCAATTATTTTATTTGTTTACAATACAAAATGTCATCTCTTTTCCCCTACCTAAGGACCCCCTATCCCATACCCCCTCCTCCTTTATATTTTTATAATATTTTAATTACAAGCATTAATAAGGTCAGTTATAGTTTTAGTGTCTAGCAATACAATAGATGCAAATAGTTAAGGAATAAGGAGCCTTATTTATAATATCCAGAAGCTGGAAAGAACCCAGATGCCCTTCAACAGGGGAATGGATACAGAAAATGTGGTACATTTACACAATGGAGTACTACTCAGCTATTAAAAACAATGAATTCATGAAATTCTTAGGCAAATAGATGGAACTAGAAAATATCATCCTGAGTGAGGTAACCCAAAAACAAAAGAACACACATGGTATCCACTCATTGACAAGTGGATATTAGCCCAAAATCTCACAATACCCAAGACATACCTCACAGACCACATGAAGCCCAAGAAAAGGAAAGACCAAAGTGTTGGTGCTTCAGTCCTTCTTAGAAGGAATAACAAAATACTCAGAGGAACAATATGAGACAATCTGTGAGGCAAAAACGTGAGGAGAGACCATCCAGAGATCCAGAGACTGCCCCACTTGGGGTTCCCTCCCAAATGCAATCACCATATGAAAACACTGTTGTAGAAGTCTGGAAGTGCATGCTGACAGGAGCCTTATATACCTTTCTCCTTAGAGGCACTACCAGAGACTGACTTATACAGAGGCAGATGCTCACAGCTAACCATCAGACTGATCACAGGGTTCCCAGTGAAGGAGTTAGAGAGAAGACTGAAGGAGTTGAAGAGGCTTCTGACCACCTGGAGAGAGTGACAATACCAACCACCCAGAGCTCCCAGGGTTTAAACAGCTAGCCTGGGAACACACATGGAGGGACCCATGTCTCTAGCAGTAGTTGTAGAGAAGGACGGACTTGTTGGGCATCAGTGGGAGAGGAGAGCCTTTGACCCTTGAAGGCTGGATGCACAGTGAGGGGGAAATCAAGAGAGGGGAGGTGGGAGTGGGTGCATGGGTGGGGCACACCCTCATAGAAATAGGAGGAGGGAGGATGGGTTAAGGGCTTTCTCGGGGTGAGGAATGGGAAAAGGGAATAACATCTGAAATGTAGATAAATAAATTTCTTAATAATAAAAAAAAAGAAAAGAAAGACAAGCAAACAAACAAAAAAACAAAACAGATAATGGAACTGGCTATGGCAGTCAAACATTTGAGACTTTTTAGCAAAATTTAACATTATCCATATTATGGGGATTCCTTATAATTATAAAGGACAAGAAACTGTGGAATGAGCCCATGAAACATTAAAACAATGTCTTCATGAAATAAAAAAAAGAGGGGGTACATATACCCCTTACATCACAAATTTATTTAAATCATGTTCTTTTATTTTTTATTTTAATTTTTAAAAAAATTTGGATGCCAAGGAACTTTCTTCTGACTGTCTATGGTGCTGTACAAATAGGCATACTTATACATAGGTGAAAGGGAAGGATCCACTTACTGGCATAAGGCATGATCCCAATCAGGTATTAAATATATGGAAGAGGACATGTTTGTGATTTTTCTTCAGGATGCTAAAGAAGCATGGTGGCCACCAGAGCAATGGGTGAGACATGCTGATGCCAGGACAAAGAATGATGCTGACCTGTGAGCTTGCTGAGAACCCTGACAATGGTGACTGGGAAGCTGTATTGGACATAATTCCCAACCCACCATTGCTTACCCCTGATGGGACAAGCTGTCTTGGCCCAAGTTCTTAGACCTTCTAGAACAGAGATTCAAAAAGAAAAGTTATAATGCCTCTTGTGCTGTTATTAAATGTGACCAGTTATTCAGACTCAATCATGGAGTGGTCTAGAAATCAACCCAATATTGGAAATAAAAGTCTTCATTTGGAAGTCTGCTTCTGGACATTTTCAGAGGCATATATAGAAATGAGACTATTAATGACCGACACTATTAACAACAATTTTATATTTTCAGACAGGATCCTAGTACAATTGTCCTCTGAGAAACTCCACCCAACAGCCAATGGAAAGAGATGGAAAGACCCACAGCCAAATATTATATGGAGCTCTAGAGTCCTGTGGAAAAATTGAGAGAACCAAAGAAAATGGGAACTCCACAAAAAGATCCACAGAGTCAAGTGGCCTGGATACTTTGGGCTCCCAGAGAGTGAACCACAAACCAAAGGGCATACATACTTCAGCTAGACCTAGGCCCCCTGCACATATGTTTCAGATGTGCAGTTTTGTCTTCATGCTGATCCCCCAATAACTGGAGCTGAGGCTGGCCATGAATCTGTGGTCTGTGTGTGGAATTGAATCCTCTTAGTGTCTGGCCTCACTGAGAGAGGCTGTACCTAGTCCTGAAGTAACTTGATGTGCTAAACTAGAGTGACACCCAGGAGAGCTCTACCTTCTCAAAGGAGAAGGGAAAGGAGGAATAGGAGCAGTAGTTGTGTGAAAAGGGATTGGGAGGAGGCAGACTAATAATGGAATGAATATTGAATAAACGCATTAGAGAAAATAAAACATAAAAATACTGGACTTCTTACAAGAAAGCTACAGGGTAGAAAGGAATTAGAAAATGGTACACAAGCTAAAACAATGTGTTAATGGGGTGTCCAATTGAGAGAAGTCCTTTAAAGAGAAGGATGTATGTCTTCTCTTGAGTTGGCCACCATCTAATTCACACATGAAAAGGAGACAATACTGATTGATACACAATTTCTGTGGCTAGCATTAGTATTATGAATGTAAATTCTATTTATGCAATCTCTACCTTGCAAGATTGTTCCAGGAAACCAGGGACAAGAAGTTAGTCCTAGTTGACCAAAATGGAGTCAAGTTCAAAGGCTTGATTCACTGGAAGCCAGTCAGTTGCTCAGTGAAGTCAATCAGGTTACAATATTCTGTGCCTCATAGATGAATTTATGGACCATGTTGATGAAAATTCCTGAAAGGGATCAGCCTCCATTATGTAGTCTCTTATTAATAGCCTTCCAAACACAGAGGTATGTGAACACCTCCTGTTTTGCCACAATTCTCCACACTCATATATGGATACCATATTGTTCATCTCTGATTCATTCATTTTTGGGATCATGGAAATATGTGTCAGCCATGAGTTGCCTTTAAATGCTGGGCCTCCTCTACTATGCCAAACACTGTGTGACTCCTCAGCTTTGGTAAGTGAGCACAGCTTTCCTAGTTAAGAGCCTGCCTTCTACTGCTTTCTTTCCCTTGTCTTCATGACTTTCCCAAACCATTCGACTGGTCCCTCCTTCCTGGCCCTTGCAACTTTGTAGTTTCCTTCAAATTTCTGAAAGTTTCTTACTGTAAAATCATTTTACTTTGGCATTCTCTAAATTGTCTAAATTTCATATCTTATATATATGTGACAGGATAGTTCCTAAGTGTCACCCTGTCCTTTCTTTTATTGTGAATCCCCCTCCCTTTCTAGTCTGATAGAGTCCAGAGACAAGAGCAGGTATGCTTTATACAACATTCCTTTATTACACATTTGCTTCTCCAGGATTGAAATAGAGTGAAGAAAAACAAGAAAGAAAAAAGAACAGCCTCAAAAGTCACAGATGGAACAATCCTTAGACACCATCATCAATGTCTACCACAGGTACTCTGTGATACAGGGAGAGCCTGACACCCTGAGTAAGGAAGAAGTCAAAGAGCTGGTGAATAAGGAGATGCCAAACTCTTTCAAGGTAAGGCTTGATTAATTTGAGAGGAGAATCTTGTCTACAATAGTTAGGGATGAAATTCTATAACTTTCCATAGAGTCAGACTAAAGTCACAGTCACTGGTGGTATGCCAGGTTAGATACTGTCAGTTAGGAGTTGAATATCTGTAATGTGTAATGTTATGTTCTGGGCAGATACATGTAGAGGCGAATCTGCAACTGACTATCCTGGTGTGGACACACAACACTAAGAACACAGATAAATCCAAATATGTGGGAGTGTAGGGGAAGATGAGATAGAATCCTGTGGATGATCTGTACTGGGTGCAGCAGAGATGAGCAGACTAGAGGGCCACCATTTTGAGGTAGTGACATTTGAGTTGAGACTTCATCCCTGGTAATGGATACACTTGAGAACAGCCCTTAACAAGACAATGAAAGACAAAATCTCATCTAAGGACTTAGAGTAGATTTGAGGGCCTAGGGTAGAAATGCAGAAACCAAGGTATAGAGAGCCAACTTCACAGAACTCACATGCAGAATCACTATCAAATACAATCAGGCTTGTTTACCTTCTTGAGTCCTGTGGATTTATCCTAGGTATTCTCTATATTTTTGGCTAATATCCACTTATTAGTGAGGGCATACCATGCCTGTAGTTTGGGAACTGAGTTATCTCACTCAGGATGATATTTTCTAGTTCTATCCATTTGCTTGCAAATCTCATGATGTCCTCATTCTTAGTATCTGAATCGTATTCCATTGTGTAAATGAACCACATTTTCTTTCCATTTTTGAGGTTGTCTTCGATTTCTTTCTTCAAGGACTTGAAGTTCTTGTCATAGAGAAATTTCAATTCCTTGTGTAGAGTCACACCAAGATATTTTATATTGTTTGTAGCTATTGTGAAGGGTACTGTTTCCCTAATTTTTTTCTCAACCCATTTATCCTTTGTATAGAAGAAGGATACTGATTTGAGCTAATTTTATATCCAGACACTTTGCTGAAGTTGTTATGCAGTTGGTGAAGATTTCTGGTAGAATTTTGGGATCGTTTACGTATACTATCATCCTATCATCTAAAAACAGTAATACCTTTATTTCTTCCTTTCCAATTTGTAACACTTGATGTCATTTGTTGTCTAATAACTCTAGCTAGAGCTTAAAGTAATGTATTGAATATATTGGGAGAGTGGACAACTATATTGTATCCAGGATTTTAGTGGGATTGCTTCAAGTTTCTGTCTATTTAATTTGATGATGGCTGTTGTTTGCTATCTATTGCTTCTATTATGTTTAGGTATGTACCATGAATTCCTGATCTCTCCAAAACTTTTAACCTGAAGGAGTGTTATTTTGTAAAAGACTCATTCAGCAACTAATGATACGATCATGTGGCCTGTTTTTTTTTTTTTGGTTCTGTTGGTTTATATACTGGATTAAGTTGAATAGATTTTTGTATATTGAAACATCCCTGCATCCCTTGGATGAAGCCTATTTGATCATGGTGAATTTTTGTTTTGATGTGTCCTTGGATTCTGTTTTTGAGAATTTTATTGAATGTATTTGTATTTACAATCATAAACAAAACTAGTCAGAAGTTTTCTCTTTTTTTCTTTTTTTTATTGGATGTTTTATTTACATTTCATATGTTGTCCCCTTACCCCATCCCCCACCCACCCAGGAACCCCCTATCCCCTCACCCCTCCTCCTTCTTCTCTGTGGATGTAACCCCTACCTAGCCCCCCTACTCCCACCTCCCCACCCTCAAAATTCCCACCCCCTGGGGCGTCCAGCCTTCATGAGGTCAAGGATCTCTTCTTCCACCTATGCCCAGCAGGGCCCTCCACTCTTATATATACAGCTGAAGCCCTGGATCCCTCCCTAAGTGCTCCCAGGCTGGTGGTTTAGACCCTGGGAGCTGTGGTTTGTTGGTATTTTTCTTTCCTCATGGGGCCACAAACCCTTTCAGCTCCAATGGACTTCACTCTAACTCCTCCATTGGGAACCCCATGATCAGTTCAATGGCTAGTTGTGAGCATCTGCCTCTGAATATGTCAGACTCTTGAAGACCTCTGAGAAGACATCTATATCAGGCTCTTATCAGCATGCACTTCCTGACTTCCACATCAGCATCTACCTTAGGTGACTGCACATGGGATGGATACTCAGGTGGAATGGTCTTCAGGCAGCCTCTCCTTGTTGGGTCTCTGTGCGGTTTAAGTTTCAGAGTGACTATGGCTTTGTAGAATGCATTAGGTAGTGCTCCTTCTGTTTCTGTTTTGTGGAATACTTTGAGGAGTATTGGTATTAGCTTGTCGTTGAAGGTATAGTAGAATTCTTCTCTAAAACCATCTTGCCCTGAACATTTTTAGGTAGACAGGTATCATGGTTTGATTATGCTTGTCCCAGAAAGTTGCACTATTTGAAGGTGTGGGCTTGTTACAGTAAGTGTGTCACTGTGGATGTGGGCTTTAAGTCCTTCATCCTAACTGCCTGGAAGTCAGTCTTCCACTAGCTGACTTCTGATTAAGGTCCTCTAAACTCTGCCTACACCATGCCTGCCTAGATGCTGCCATGCTCCCACCTTAATGATACTGGACTGAACCTCTGAACCTGTAAGCCAGTCCCAAATATATGTTGTCCTTTATAAGACTTGGCCATGGTGTCTGTTCACAGCAGTAAAATCCTAACTAAGATAGGAGGTTTGTAATGACTGCTTCTATTTTCTTAGGGGTTATGGGACTGCTTAGATAGTTTCCTTGATCCTGATTTAACTTTGGTACATGATGTATGTCTAGAAAATTAGCCATTTCATCTAGATTTACCAGTTTTCTTGAGTATAGACTCTTGTAGTAAGATCTGATGATTTCTTTGAATTTCCTCAGTTTCTGATACATCTTCCTTTTTATTTCTGATTTTATTTTTTAATTATTTTATTTATTTGCATTCCAGGAGTTGCCTATGTCACAATTCCTCATCCCATTTCTCTTCCCCTTTGCCTCTGAAAGTGTGCCCCTCATCAGAACTCCTCATTCCCTGGAGCCTCAGGATTAAGTGCAACTTCTCCCACTCAGGCCAGACCAGGCAGATCTCTGCTATTTATGTGGCAGAAGTCTCAGACTGCCCCATGTATGCTCATGAATTGCTTCATTCCCCCTTGTAAAATTTCCTTTTTCACTTCTGATTTTGTTAATTTGGATACTCTCTCTGTGTCCTTAAGTTAGTTTCACTAAGGGTTTATCTATCTTGCTGATTTTCACAAAGAACCAGCTCTTGGTTTTACTAATTCTTTCCATTCTTTTCTTTTTAATTGGTTGATTTAATTCTGCAGTTTGGGTATTTCCTGCCATCTCCTCCTCTTGGGTGTGTTTGCTTCTTTCTGTTATAGAGCTTTCAGGTGTGCTGTTAAGTTGCTTGAATGGGATCTCTCCAATTTCTTTATGAAGGAAATTAGTGCTATGAATTTTTCTCTTTATACTGCTTTCATTGTGTCCCATATTCAGATATGCTGTGCCTTCATTTTCATTGAATTCTTGAAAGTCTTTTTTTTTAATTATTCCTTGCCTCACCAAGTTATCACTGAGTGGAGTTGGTCAATTTCTATAAGTATATTGAGTTTGTGTTGGTTTTGTTGTTATTGAAGCCCATCCTTAGTTTGTGATGAACTCATAGAACGTATTGGATTATTTCAATATTCTTGTATCTTTTGAGGCATGTTTTGTGTCCTATTATAAGATCAGTTCTGGAAAAGTTTTATAATGTGCTGAGAAGAAGGTATATCCTTTTGTCTTAGGGTGAAACGTCCTGTAGATATCTGTTAAATACTTTTTTTTTTTTTTTGGTTTTTTGAGACAGGGTTTCTCTGTGTAGCCCTGGCTGTCCTGGAACTCACTCTGTAGACCAGGCTGGCCTCAAACTCAGAAATCCGCCTGCCTCTGCCTCACAACTGCTGGGATTAAAGGCATGCGCCAACACCGCCCAGCTATACTTTTGGTTCTTAACATCTATTAGTTTCACTGTGTTTCTGTTTATTTTATATTTCAATGAACTGTCCATTGGTGAGAGTGGGATATTGAAGTCACCCTGCTATTACTGTGTGAAGATGGAACTTTGGTAAAGTTCCTTTTACAAATGTGGTTTCCCTTGCTTTGGGGACATAGATATTCAGAATTGAAACTTCATCTTGGTGGATTTTTCCTTTGATAGGTATGAAGTGTCCTTCCTCATCTCTTTTGCTTACTTTTGGTTGAAAGTCTATTTTACCACATATTAGAATGACAAATTCAGCTTGACACTTGTGACTATTCGCTCATAAAAATTTTTCTAGCTGGTCCTTTACTCTGAGGTACTGTCTGTCTTTGTTGCTTAAGTGTGTTTCTTGGCTTCTGGTTTCTGTCTGTGCCTAGAGCTGATCCTGTGCCACTGTGCTCCATACACAACTACTGCTAGGAGAGAGCTGGTGTCCCAAGAGTGCTGGAACACCTGTGAGCACAGGAAAGACCACCACTTCTGCTCCGAGGGACCCACATAAAGAACTCAGGACACAGGAACTAAGAAGCAACCAGGGACAGAATCCATCAGGTCTCCATCTACACCCCAGAGCTGACCCTGTGTCAGAACTCTCCATAGTCAAATTCATCACATACAGAATGGGTCTCCCAAGAGTACTCATGCACAGCCTTACAGGAGGGACAGCCACAGTCAAAAAAAGCAAGACCATCTAACACCAGAGCTATCCAGATGTTGACAGGAAAGGGCAAGAACATAAGCAACAGAATCCATGGCTACTTGGCATCATCAGGGCCCAGTTCTTCAACCAAAGCAAACCATGGATACCGCCAATACACCAGAAAAGCAAGATTTGGATTTAAAATCACATCTCATGATGATGACAAAGGACTTTAAGAAGGAAACTCCTTAAAGAGTTGAGCACACGTAAACAGCTAGAAACCCTTAAAGAGGAAACACAAAAATCCCTTACAGAATTATAGGAAAACAAAATCAAACAGGTTAAGGAATTAAA